TACTGAATTGTATGGGCCGAGGCAAAAATACCACCGGCTTACTCGAATTAGTAAACGGATAGGCCAGGGCACGAGAGTGCAGCCTACGGAGGTGTGATGCACATATTCTCGGTCAAGTGCCTCTGCTTGACCGCTGTTAAAACGGCCGTATCCCACGGTGTCTACCGGGCTAAGGTCTTTTGGTAGGCTATACTGCGTGAGCTTAAACCTGTATGCGCTATCCTGGCTAGTAGGGTAGGCCTCTGGAAAACGCCATCGGTATATCTCGGCCAGCCAGTTGAAGGTTACAGCCCTCACCATAGTCTCTCTCCATTACCCGGGTAGACAGTGAAGGTCAAAGTAAAGAGCACAGCATTATCCCCGGCCTTTACTCATCTACTCCCCGCCTGACAGAGTGGGGAGAGCGGAGCGCAGTGTGAGAGTATAGGCGCTCCTCCGCCAGACAACAATACGGTTAATACAATAAGCCTACATCATGTCCATGTTTTAAAAAAATCTTTGTTAAGTTTGAAAGCTTTTTTTGTATGTGTTTTTGTTCTATAAGGATCGACCGCCAAAAGCCATTAAAACGGATGCAAAAATTAATTATCCATGGAGATAGGCAAAAAACAAGAGGATATGACCTTTTGTGGACGTTTCATTAAAATCAGCTATTTCAGTGCAGATATGAAATGGAAATGGAATAGTGAAGTGCTATAGCCCTTAAAACGTCTGGATGATTTGATAGCGCAGCAAAAAAGATTTACAGACGATCATGTACTTCTTACTTCACTTTGGCCATTTGCAATTAAGCGCGAATCAGCAAGACAGTGAATAATGTGGAGCTCTCTCAACCTGTATGTATTTCATTCATTTTACGCAACAGGGAATTCCAAATTGAACTGCTCCCTGGGTTACTTAGGAGCTGTCATGCCTGGCTTTGCCTTTGGGTGGCAGCAAGACTCCAGCAATGCTGCAGTGAGCGCTGGGAGTGTGCCAGATTCGGAATCGAGTCCAGCCTGCTCTGCTCTTTCCGCCAGCCACAGCTTGAATATCTCTCTCCCTGGGTTGCGTGCGCGTTCGCGTGTGTTTGCGTCTGAACCGTGTACCCAAGGACGCAGACAGTGCACGCTGACAGTGCTCTCAGTTAATGCATACTTGACCCTGACTTCAATTTGTCTGACAGAGGATTTAGTGTAATGCCTACTTATAAATAATCATTTTGAGAAACTATTTTTACATTATAATTCTTTATGAATTACTGACAACCCTTTATTTGAAGTTCAGCTCATTACACTGCTTGAATAGTTATTTTATGATTAGGCCTACATAGTTTGTTACCAATTAAAAAACTGTTTTAAACTGCAAATCATAATTTATTATACATCATAAACCATGCATGTATACTATAGTAATACAAAAGTAAATACATAAACAATTTATTTCGAGAACTTGTTTATAATCAAGAGGCCTTATAGCCTTATTTAGGTTAGATATGTTATAATGTTATATTTTGATATGATAGCATATTTATACTGCCTTCATGACAGCCTATAGACTATGAAAATAAAATCTACAACGATATTTAATCGTTGGCATCGTAGAAGCAACTTTTCGAACCAGCAAAAACACAAGGATGCGACCGTTTCTATTTAAAATGTATTAATGTGTGATTCCGGATGTTGCTAGACAAATACCATGCACCACAGGTGTGCGAGATCACTGATTAAGAATAGCAAAAGACAATGGCACAGCCTGCAAGCATAATATGTCGAGTTATTTCCCTGTGCCACGGAGAAGGCCGGGCGCTGGCTTTTCTTCAGTCATATATATTTTTCTGTTAAAGCCTCCTGCAGCAACTGAATCAATATCTTTACGATATATGGATAACTTAAAGTAGTAGAGGGTGAAAACATCGAATATTCTGGTATGTTTACCAGTATAGACTATATGAGTTTGCTTTGCTGCTTCCTACGCTGAACACATTGTATTTGCAATGCAACATAGCTACACTCAGCATATATATTCAGAAAACAAACATAACCTCAATGAAATTGAAATAAGTAGACAAACTTGGCGAAGGCCCATGCATTCTGATTCGTGGGGGAAGCTCGTAAAATCATTTTTCATTCCATTTTTTTCTATCAAGTGTGTGTTTATATTTTCTGGCAGAATTCAGTTACCGCAGGATACATTTGAGTAATTATTTTACAATTATAATAAGTTTCTATTTGATCGTGAAATGCTTTTAAGTAAATGTTCATAGCCTGTTATTCACGAAGATAACGACAAGGCGCTTTTGGCATCCTACAACAATAAAAACACAAGTCATTGCTACGGGTTCTGTAAGTGCAAAACCCTTCCCCTCTATAATCACCATGTGTTTGTTTGCTTTGCTAGTTTCATGTCCGCGTTCTTTCTCATATTTGGAGTGGTCTGTTCCACAGTAAAACTTTAAGATACAGGCCCAAGCCTAGTACACTGAGACTTAAAGGATAGGATGCCACTAATACGGTAATAGAACCAAAGTTCTAGGCCTATCAACGAGAAACACATAAATTATTATCTTGAGTCACCAGAGTAGTATATGGTGCAAATCAGAATATTATTTAAGAAAGTGCTCTATTATAAATGATCAATTTTCAACCACTTCTGAATGGGAATAATATAATAGTTGTAGGCTGGTGGCGTGATAATACAGCATCAGCGAATCAAAAGGCTGAGGCCTTTTCTCTCGATGTTAAATTCACGGGTTAGGCCTTCATATTAGCATAATGTAATATCACGGTATCAGTATCAGGTAGCTGAAGTACCAACATCTTTATTGTTAAGTCTATTTTCTAAGAAAATGTAAAAACGTTTAAGCTAAAATGGTATTGCATAGGCTTCTAGCTCACTATAAAGCTACTTCACTGATTGGTATAGTATTGCGGTTAATAGAATATGCAACCCATGCACGTTTTCAATCAAATCTATCTTAGAATTAAACATGTAGACCTGCATCACAATGTGGACCTGCAGCAATAATATATCGCATTTGAAATCGCTTCTCATTTTGTGATCTGGTGTGATATTGATATTATCAGCAGACATGAACGCGAGACGCTCAGCTGTTACAACAAAAGATGATCAGTCATATAGGGGATTAAGAAATGCAAAAATGCTAAAAAATAATCATACAGACTTTGTCGTTGGGATGACGAAATTATTGAATAAATTATTGAAAATATTCAAAACCAAAGTAAGAACTCAAGGAAATCGAAAACAACGATAGCCTAAACGGTGCCTGGGTGTTTTCTGCAGCACATGGGGGGGCCTACTAATGTTCAAAATCCAAAATTCACACCTCTGTGACACTGAAGCGGTTATATGGAAACACTTTTGAAATTATGGTATTTTAGCTGTGGCTGACGTTTTTTATGACGTGATAATAAGTAGGAATTCCTATCGAAGAAATGCTTCCTGAATTCTATATGATTACATCACAATAATAGTATTATGACGCGAAAATAGACAAAAATGCGCATGAAAGCATTTAAAATAATCGGAATAATCGAAATTAACGGAACATTCACAACTGAGATCGACATATGTAACAGTAAACACTATAGGCAAAACAAATAAATACAATTTGGAGCAATTATCGCTTCGAATAGGCTGTTTGTGCAGGTATTGTTGCTAAATATTTCCACATTGAGCTCATATAAATGTAACTATATTAGTGTTATTGTTATTATTATATTATTATTTATTTATTTATTTATTTATTTATTTATTTATTTATTTATTTATTTATTTATTTATTATTATTATTATAGCCTAGTTGATGTGGCAAAGTAGAGTACAGATGTCAGTCTGGTTAGTCAACTGTAGCGCTTGAGACAATCTCATCAGTAGATGGCGATGTTGGCTTTATAATCCTGCACATACACTCCAAATAACACTTCCATTATTTGATCTCTCACAAGAATTAGACATTTTCGATGCACTTAATAGATGGATTCAGACCCTTCGTAATACCATCACAACTAGGCGACACATGGAATTACCGTAAAAAAATTGACAGAGCCCGGAGTAACCCAGTATATGTCTAAACGAGGACCTTCCGGTTGAAGCATAAATCACGGCGGTCAGACATGTTCCTTACACACGGTAAACAGACCTACACACTGACACTCGAGCCTCACACTGCCTCTGAATCTAAGAATACCTTTAACCAATTTATGACGGATTCTTTTACATGAGAATAGCCATGACAAAATCACACAATTGACATCAAAATGTCACACCAAAAACGGAACAATTTCTCTGTAATATACTGGACGGATGTTCAAAGCAGAAGTCGTGGACATATATGATTGATTCAACAATGTCCATATTTTATTGGGACGGATTTTCGTGTCAATACTTCTACACCGACATATTTTACAGACACACACAGATGCCTTGAAATATTATAGTTTTGTCTGCAAAGTTTACTTATATAACCACATGAATACACACACAATATAAAACCTATGGTTCATATGGGCACATATGCATTACAAGAAGGATTGCACCATGGATTCGTTATGAGTGAGAGCATGAAGAAGCTAAACTTTAAATTAAGATGCCCATGAAGAGTGGTGTGTTGAAGGGGAAATGGAACGGATTCATATTTAACCGTGGAAGCTATAATCCTAAATGCAGTCACTTCCTGTGGATTTCCAAATGTTTTTTTTTTCTCCACACGGTGAAGTGATACAATTATAAACTAAAACACACACCTCTCTGAAGTGTGTCTGTTTTCCTGTACTGCATGCCAGTCGCAAAAATGACACGCCCCTTCCTGCTTTGGGATCCATTCACCGCGAACAATATTTTACATCATGGAGAAAAGATGGAAGGTCCAGAGCTTTTATACATGTTCGTTCCAAAAAGGTCCCGGAACGCATTTGGCAAAGCAGGCCTACATTTGTGAATCTTGATCTGTGGGATACAATGTGTCAATTGTTCCAACCAAAAAGCGTGAAGAGCATTTTGAGTGTGTGTGTGTGTGTTTGTGTTTGTGTGTGTGTATTCAATTCCCATCGTTCAGAACTAGCTGATGCTCTTCACTTTGACGACGACCTTCTTCTCCTTTACGCGTCTGTTCTGAAACCAGATAGTGACCTGTCGCTCGGACAGATTCGTCTGGGCGGATATCCTCCTTCGTTTGTCCTTCGTTATGAATTTATTGGCCGCGTACTCGCGCTCAAGTTCCTTCAGTTGCACCTTGGTGTATGGCACGCGCTTCTTTCTTCCACGTCTGAAGGAGCTCAAGTCCCCTCCTATGTGAGACATGGCTTCTGGTGGAGCAAAACGGAAAACAAAATAGATATGGTATAAGGAGTTTACAATAGTAGCCTAGCCATTTGCTCTCATACGAGAGAGAGTTTTACAGAAAAGGCATCGTTTCTAAAATGTTGTTACAGTAGGCATTACATAAAGGCCAAAATATTTCGGACATATAATCATAAAAACACACTGAAAAGTTTGGTTTATTGCGTAAAAACCTCAGGGCTCTCTCCTTGTGTTGTACCTGGTATGGAGGATTTCCACATGTGTCCGGGCTGAGGCTGCTCCTTGGTGCAGTAGACCTGTCCGTTCCACCCGTTTGTAGTCAGAGCCCACGGCTGATAGCTCTCCATGGGCAGCAGGGGCTCGTGCCTGGGTTCGGCTGGCCCGCTCATAGTTGGTACCACGGGCAGGTCCATGTAACTGGGAACGGGCTGGTATGGCCCCGACGCATAGCTCGGATAGAAGGAGAACTCCTTGGCCCGGGAGGTGAAGTCATCGCCCGAGGCGGACGTGTCCATGTACTTTTCCCCGTACGCAGAGGGGAGCTGCGTGCCGCACGACTTTATGCTACTGTGGTGCGACATTCTGCACGGGTAGTAGCCGCTACCGAAGTATCCATAGGGCAGGGACGCGCTGGAGGAGCTTTGCGCAGCCGAGCAAGGGCTGCACTGCTTGGCTGGCTCGCCCATACCGGAGGTGGGGACCTCACTTGAGGAGTACGCCGTGCTCGGAGCAAGGGACGCTGGGTGCGCCATCAGGTTTCTGCATTGGTTCGCCGCAAAGTTGCCTCCCGCAAAACCACCACCGCCAGCGTCCATGTTCTTGCTCACTTCATCGGAAACGTTGTCATAGAGGAACATCACCGACGGGTCGACCCAGCGAGGACGGAGGAGCAGTGATGTTGTCATAGCACGACATCCAACATTGAGGCTTCTGGCTCTTTTTAAAAAAGCACAGAGACTGAAAAAAGGAGATACTGATTCCGAGAGAGTAAAAGACTCTGACTTGCCCTGGTGCAACCAAGGTCGGCCTTCATTGGCCAAGAAGGGGCCACGTGATATGCAAAGAGCACGATAAACATCTCCCAGTGCAGATAATTAAATGTAGAAAAATGCAGTGTTGTCAGATGACCGTACCTATCAAGGGATTTGGCTTGTCTTTTTGCCGCTCAAAAACGAGAGGGTTTCGTGAGTAAATCTAAAACAAAAAACACATATCCTCTCCTATCCCTCCTATATAAGGTTACACTTCAAACATAACTGTGTGACGGACACATTTGTTTGAAAAGGTTCCTATTTTATCATTGGAAAGCCAAATAAAAAGGACCTGGTTGTCCAGACTGTTTCAAAAGACTGCGGTGATTCACCTACTTAAATCCATCCATACACGTTGCTTTTACCCACATAAAGGAAGTGTGTGTAATCATGTCTATGACACAATGTCATCGCAGATTATTTTGTACATTGTGGGCCTGTATTAATTCCACAAATCATAATCCATTCAAACCCCAATACAGCTCACATAATTCGACTAGTAGTACATAGCGTAAGGAATGGTTCGCCAAGGACACGTTTCCCAATATCCCATAAAAGACGACGGAGATGAACTACTAATGTTAACAGTGTTTGAACAGACCGAACCACTGAGGGGAAAACGGATGACTCATCCAAGAGACACGCATATGATAGAGAATAATCAGATGAGAATTAAAATAAACAAGGCTTTAGAACAACAACAAAACATAGACTTGGAAAACGTCCATCTCCTTTTGCAACTAAAGATACATGGGCTTAAATCCATGGGTGATTCAATCAAAACGCCCCGTTTTCATATCACTCAAGTGAGAGTGATGGATACAGGTTCGAGCACTCAAGAAATTAGTGAGAATTCGGATATAACGTAAGTGTGCACAGAAAATACCAGACCCCTCGCTTCCGACATGTTTACAATATGCAAAGACAGAAAACAGCAATCAAGTTTGGCAACGCAGTTGGTTTTTACATAGCCTACTGGGTAGACGCGGCTAGAGGCCAAGGTCAAGTTGAAAGTTGATGTCTAGCTGACGAGTCTGTTGGGTTATTCAGTCTTTGAAGGACCGGTCTGAGTTCTTGAAAAGGGCGGAAGAGGGGTGAGAATTCCTGGCCGAATGAAAGCTTTGGAGGGCATTAACTTTTACTATCATTTTATTTTCCCAAACGTTGTATTCTCTTTGTGTCTAAGGAAACTGTTTTAGGCATCATGTGTGGTGCACGCTTCTGTGTCTCACATTGGAAAAGTAACCGGAATGTGGCATTTGCAAGCCAATCTCGTGTTTTGGAAAGTTTTAGCGAAGACATGTGCAACATGATGTGATCTCTCAAAGGCAGGATAGATGTGTCGTTGGTTTGTCTGCTTGGTGTTTTTACAGCCAAGGACTCTCTTTCCAATTATATTACGTAGGAAGAAAATACACAAGCCTACCTATAGCATATTTTCTCGGCTGCAGTATAATGCAAGAAAAAATATGGTCAATCAGCGGTGTATCACAAATAGGCCTAAATTAAATGATGCAAGTAGTCAAATGTCAAAGTTAGTTTCAGGCTACAAATGGACCAAAAGGAATGTGCGCAAAAATTAATTCATATAGAATTCAAGCATTTTTCCATAGGCATTCTTGACGATTATCGTGTCATAATACTATTATTGTGATGCACTCATATAGAATTCAGGAAAAAAAATGTGTAGGAATTCTTACCTATTATCACGTCATAATAATATTAATAAAAGCAAGCTGTGCCTCAGCCCTCAGCCACAGCTAAAATACTACCAGTAGGCCTATTCGATATTAAAGCTAGATCGTGTGCAGGGTCCACATTATCCATTAAACAGTAGGCCTAATAACAAACGTAGACATATGAATTATCAAATCAGACCAGCTCTTTCTTTGTATACCTATTATTTGAATATTCTGGATGGATGAGGGACTTCGAGAATAATTAAATAAACGGTCTTAGCCTATCAGACGTCAGCTAAATCGAGAGACAACAGACATTATTTGTTGCAATGTTATGCAATTGGTCACCCACTCAGATTTAGTTTACATTGCGATGCCGTAACGGGACTCAAAATTAATCTTAAAACGCATGAATAGGCTACATCTGTTAGGCTGTTAGGATAGTCTGTCCTAACAGCCTAACTGATCCAAAATCAAACGTTAGGAAAGTCTAACAGCCCCTAAATTCTACATGATGTGCTTTAAAAAGTAGACGACTGATATCTTCCGTAACATGATTAAACTAAAACAACATCCCCATGCTTAATTCGTCAGACATAGCTACAGATTGATGTCGTTGTAGCCTACCGGTTTGTTGTGAAAGGTCAATCAATTTTTTTCACATTCATATCAACCCGTTGACTAACATGTGAGGCTTATATGTGTTACAACATAAAGCCACCCGATAGGCTTTGTTCTAAAATTATAAGGAATTGGTTTAGAGGAGGACTATTAATTGTCCTCCCATTTGGAGAGGAATTTGAAGATTAGTCTATATCAAATTCATATTCCAAGAATCTATGTGATCAAATAAATTGATATTTCAAAAAATATTTCCCCACATCTGGTGCTTAACTTATCTTTACATAAACCATAAACAGATTTGAGAATGCTACTCGTTTCATACCGTGAAATAACACGACTATGTGTTATCTAATATATTTTACATAAGAGATTGTTTTAATATGTTATGTAACCATGATGTGTACGAGGACTAACTAACCTATAACAAAGAAGCTATGATACAAACATAACGGCTTTGTGAATCAGGTGTGAGTCATCAGGCACCAACGCTATTACTTTCTCTTTTTGATCACATCAGCATGGGTTAAAGACCCACCAATATGTTCCAAAATCGAACTTTTCAAAATTGCAATACAGTACATTCCATATTTACATGAACTAATCAAATAAATAGCAATCTAAAGCGAGGTTAATTCTCAAACCCCAATCAAAACAAATGAGGAGCTGCCACCGAGACGGCGGCGCGCGCATATGCGGTCTGCTTTGAGCCAGTGGTCTGACCAGACCAGACATCCTAGCGAGGAAACAGATCACCGCCATGCGCCACAACCTGGCCCAGACATTCTACTGGCTAGGGAGACCCATCTGTGAGGTCATTACCAAGAGCATGGAAATGCTTAGCTTTCTTCGACTGGCATTGTCATTGCGCCGCAAATAAGAACATTTTAATTGTTTGTGACGTTACAATAAGTCTACAAAAAGAAGTCTAAACCCAGTAAAGGAAAATCTAAACCATTTGGATAGCTATGAACTGCCATCATATTATCATTTTCAAATAACAATGACTATTACAATACGTTGCAAAGATGGGGGCCAATTTCCAACCCGTATATTTTATTCAATCCCTAACGTGAAACCAATATGTGCCTTATCCAGTTGTTATGGTGTGATGTGAAAATAAACAGTGGTAACAAAAAGTATAGCCAGGGTAATACAAATATGTTTCTGCGGTTGAGCCAGTGAACCACAAGGGCGGCCTGGCACATAACTTTTCCATGTTCTCCGGACTGCAACGTGATGTGGCACTAAAGGATAAAATAAAAAGGAAATTGGAAAATGAGTCAACAGGGTGGCTCTTGAATCGCCCCTGACTGACAGCTCTCTTATACATTCGCTTTGACTCAAAGTGTCACAAAGTAGAAGTCTTAAACATTTTGTTTACGGGCTGATAAAACTATAGCTATGTAAGCTACATGTTAAATCATTTATTGGCACAATGGAATCCCAGTAGGCTATATACAGAATACCCAGTCACTCACTAACCATCAAGTTCACTCAGATTGAATCATCAGGAAACTAGGCAACATGTTTTTTCACCAAATGTATTCTTGATGACCTTATTACTTTGGGCACATGTTTCACTATAACCACTGGCGTTTTTGTAAGGCCAAAACGATTCGTCAATTAACAATAAACAAAACAACTCCACAGTAAAAGCATAATTTCAAACTAGCATTGACATAAAATAAGGTTCCTAAAAAGCTATATATTGCACAACACAGAAATGAACGTCAAAGTGTTTACAATTAGGCTAAACACCAACAAAATAGGCTATAACCTATAAGCCAATTCGCCTAAATATATAGACTACATTTTTAGGCTTTACATCTCATGGTTTTAAAAAGACAAACATAATTTGTGCAAAAGCCACTTAAAATCAATTTTATGTTGACGTTAATAACTTTAATTGTGATGTAAAAATGATTATACTACATAGACCTTTGTTTCCAGTGAATGTGAAATTATTTTCAATTTTATTATTGACTTATAGCCTATGTTGTCCTCGATTATGAAATACCCCTAACCCTTCGTGATTTAGTCGCATATTTCATCATTCGAAAGGAAAATTCTTTTTTATATATAAAGGAAATTCCTGCCATTTTTTCATTAGTAACAAACAAAAAATCAATGATACACTGGTTACGCAATGCTCGAATTTGTAAGAAAAAAAATGAATAGATAGTACATAGAACCTTGAGTTCACGCTGAAATTACCAAACACATTTGTTTGATATGCTAACGAAAATTCAGCCTTTTCAACGACATCATGAGCTTCGATTTCACAAAAACAAAATATGTTTTACTTTTTTTTTTTTACACAAGCATTGCACAATGTCACATTCAGTTGGTCATTCAAAACGTTCAAGACATTTTATCTTGTCAAGCGACTACAATTGGGCGGCAGGTAGCCTAGCGGTTAAAGCATCCGGCCATTAACCGAAAAGTCGCTGGTTCGAATCCCTGATGACCCTAATTGCTCCTGTAAATCGCTCTGGATAAGAGCCTCTGCTAAATGATTTTTTTATTTTTTTTATGTCGTCGACACAACATAACTCACAATGACACGCCCACATGAGCATCCTATGACACAACCCATTTGATATCAGATAAAGCTCCATTGTC